TTATTATAATTAGTTGTAGCAGTAGCAGTCGTATCGTAGGCATTATTATCATTATCGTTATTATTATTTTCATTGTTATTGTTGTTGTTGATATTATAGGTATTCTTATCATTATCATCACGATTATTATCACTATCATTATTGATATTACAATTATTGTTATCACTACTAGTAGTATTACCATCATAGTGCACAGTACCATTACCAACATCGTTTTGACACTCCGTATAGTAATGTTAATCAACATTATTCTACTGGCATTACCATTCTCCATTTACCCAGGAGTAGGGTAAGCACAGGAGTAGGGTAAGCACATTCTCCATTTTACCCAGGAGTAGGGTAAGCACAACATTCTCCATTTGCCCAGGAGTAGGGTAAGCACAACATTCTCCATTTGCCCAGGAGTAGGGTAAGCACAACATTCTCCATTTGCCCAGGAGTAGGGTAAGCAACACATTCTCCATTTGCCCAGGAGTAGGGTAAGCACACATTCATTCTCCATTTGCCCAGGAGTAGGGTAAGCACAACATTCTCCATTTGCCAGGAGTAGGGTAAGCACAACAGCCCAGGAGTAGGTAGCACAACATCTCATTTCGCAGGCCAGGAGTAAGGTTAGCACAAGCTGTACAGGATCGAATTCCCTGCGTGAGAGGTTTCGGTTCATCAGTTCCATTCCTATCCATTCAGCATTCGAAATGGTTCCCACAAGCTGAAGCTGCTTTCGAATAGAGTGAGAGCTTTAGCAATATCAATATCAATAAGTGTATTCAGTTTCTAAAATAAGATGAATTGGATCAAGCCACACGCACACACACATGAATGTGTGTGTGTGTATATATGTATATACATATATATATTTATATATATATATATATATATAATATATATTATATATATATATATATATATATATATATATATATATATATAAATCATATCCATCTATTATCTATGTACCTATCTATGTATCTATCTATCTATCTATCTATCTATCTATCTATCTATCTATCTATCTATATATATATATATATATATTATATATATATATATATATATATAATATATATATATATATATATATATATGCGTGTGTGTGTGTGTGTGTGTGTGTGTGTGTGTGTGTGTGTGTGTGTGTGTGTGTGTGTGTGTGTGTGTGTGTGTGTGTGTGTGTGTGTGTGTGTGTGTGTGTGTGTGTGTGTGTGTGTGTATACATATCTATACCTATATCTATATATCTATATACTATATATATATATATTATATAATATATATATATATATATATATATATATATATATATATATAATATATATATATATATATATATATATATTTATATTATATATATATATATATATATATATATATATATATATATATATATATATATATATTATATATATATATATATATATATATATATATATATATATATATATATATGTATGTATATATATGTTTCAGAAGACAGTGACAGGCGCCACCGCCATCACATCACAGCTTGATGAACGGAAGAATAATCAAAGATAAACAAATAAAAAAATAACAGAATCGAAGTGACAAGAAACAGACCGACACCGCCAACGCCCCGATAAAAAAAAAAAAAAAAAAAAAAAAAAAAAAAAAAAAAACGCAAAATGACATGCAAGTTCGAGGTCGACTCAGGAACAGCTGAAGGGAGATGCCGGGTCAGAGGGCAGTCGAGAAGGGGATATTGTCTTCGGAGGAAAGAGACATGATCTGCGGCCAATGCGGGGAGCTGATTGGTCGAGAGGCGGACCTGGGGGGCGGGGTCGGCGGCTGGCGACCCGGCTGGTCAACGAAGCCGGGTTTTTTTGTTTTGTTTTTTCTCTGTGTTCTTTCTTGGATTTTTTTTTTTTTTTTTTTTGTGTGTGTGTGTGTGTTTTATTTTGTCTCTGATTTTCTCCTTTAATCTTCTCTCTTTTCTACTTTTTCTTGTTCTCTATCTTCTTTATTTTCTTTATCTACTTCATCTCTCTCTCTCTCTCTCTCTCTCTCTCTCTCTTCTCTCTCTCTCTCTCTCTCTCTCTCTCTCTCTCTCTCTCTCTCTCTCCTCTCTCTCTCTTCTCTCTCTCTCTCTCCTTTCTCCTTTCTCCTCTCCTTCTCTCTCCTTCTCCCACTCTCTTCTCTCCCTTCCATTCCTCTCCTTCCAACTTTTCCTCCCCACCACTTCATCTTCCGCTGTCTCTCCCTGCATCAGTCTCTCCTTCTTTCCGCCATGTTTTCCCCTCGCCAACGACCGCAGTTTGCTCTCTCCCACCGGTACCTGAGGCGCGGTGTTCGAACCCTCGCTCGAGACTTCAGCTTTAGCAACAACCCTTCCGCGACTGTGTCTTCGGCTTTGGCTTCTTGGCTGACAGTTTTGATGAATGGAATCGGTCTTCGGGGGGTAAGGGGGGGACGGGGGGGGGGGGGGGCAGAGTCCACGCATGAAAATGAATTTATTTTACTAGAATTTTTGAAGGCGTGTTTTATACATACATACATATAAGCACACGTAGCTACTATACATACATACATGCAGGAACACACACACACACACGCACACACATTCATACATACATACATACAGGACACACACACACACACGCACACACATTCATACATACATACATGCAGGAACACACACACACACACGCACACACATTCATACATACATACATGCAGGAACACACACACACACGCGCACACACATTCATACATGCATACAAACATCCATATATACAGGTATATGGAAAGATCGATAGGCAGATAGATGTGTTTGTGTGACGTGTTTTTTAATCAAATTTTTAATACCTTTTCCTTGCTCCTCCTCTCTGCCTTTCCAATAAGCCGTAAATAATCACTCGACCTCGCGGCCTCCCCATCTTAAACCCAATTCCCCCATTTCTTAAAATCACAAACCACTTCCCTTCATTAAGGCAAAAGAAACAAGATCCACAAAACTCTTCATCTTCGCTCGCTGTTCCTCTGAATCCTCCTCTCCCCCCCCCCTCCCACTC